GGAGCTGGCACAGCCCGTGCTGGGAATTTATGTTCCAGCCAGGAGTGGCAGAACCTCCAGCCCTGCACATGGTGCAGATACACCCTGGAGTAACAAAGGAGTGTGTGTGTGCTCACAGCAGCCTCCTGGGCTGGGGAAAACCTGCATCCCCATCCTGGCCTTCCTGCCACATCCTGCTGGGCTTCCCTGGCTGCTGCTGGTGCTCTCCTGGTGCGCAGGGAGGGGAAGGGGTGCTCATCACCTCCCTGGTGTGCAGGGAAGGGGTGCTCATCCCCTCCCTGGTGTGCAGGGAAGGGGTGCTCATCACCTCCCTGCTTTGAGAGGAAAGAATCTCCTGGTGCGCAGGGAGGGGAAGGGGTGCTCATCACCTCCCTGGTTTGAGAGGAAAGAAATCATCGTCGTCCTCCTCCTCCTCCTCCTCCTCATCCAGAGGAGGCAACAAGGTTGGTGATGGGTGTGGAACACAAACCCTGTGAGGAAGCACTGAGGGAGCTGGGGGTGCTCCCCTGGAGAAAAGGAGACTCAGGGGTGCCCTCCTCACTCTGCACAGCTCCTGAAAGGTGCCTGTGCTCAGCTGGGCTGGGCTCTTTCTGCAGGCAGCACTGACACAACCAGAGCACACAGCCTGCAGCTGTGCCAAGGGAAATTCAGGCTGGATGTTAGGAAGAAGTTTTTTACAGAAAGAGTGATAAAGTGTGGGAAATGAATTTGTAGAGAATTAGGCATTTACAGCATGGAGTGGCAAAAGCTGATAGGCCAAGAAACACTTATAATGTATTGTAATTAAGAAATAGTTCACTTCTGATTGTGACGGTGTGAATTATAACACCTGTATTGTCTCACCCTTCACATGAGACTGAAAATGGAATAAAAGTTTTTAAAACCCCTCTCAGTTGCCCCATCTCTGGGTCAGATATGACCATAATCCAACAATTAAGTTCTGGCATGTTCTGCCCGGAGAGGAGGTGCGGTCACCATCCCTGGGTGTGTTTAACAAAGCCTGGATGTGGCACTGGGGGCCAGGGTTTAGTTGAGGTGTTGGGGCTGGTTGGATTTAATGATCTTGAAGGTCTCTCCCAGCCTGGTGTTCTGGGGAAGGTCTCTGTGACCTCTCCCTGCCCAGCCCAGGTGAGCAGCTGCCCCGCTCTGCATCCTCAGGTGAGCAGGGAGCTCCTGTGCCGTGTCCCAAGGATGCTCCTCCAGGCAGAACATCTCCCAGATCTACAGGAGAAGGGTTTAGCCTGGTCAGATAAGAAGGACTCAGAGTTTGTGGGGACACCCCCGCCCCACACACACCCACTCATTAGTGGAGCCAGTTAATTATGGTTTTGTTGCCCAAGCCCTTCCTCATGTTAAGGGAGGCATAGATAGACTTGGTTGCAGGTACAGCCAGGAGTAGATCACAGTAAAGCTGATCAGAATATCTATTATTTATTGCCTTGTTTACAAAATGAATTGTTCTGCCTTCGCAAAACACACAGAATAATAGAGAAAATACAGAACAATACAGAATTGGCTGCTGCAATAGCCATTGATACCAAGACATTCACAACTGCCAGCACTTTGTTGTCTTTCCTTGGCATGGATTTTATTCATAATTCCATGGCACTTCCTGGCATGATGCTGGAATCTCTCGTGCTTGGATGGCAGTGGGGTCAGCAGCCTTTAACCTGCACTTGGAATTCTGTGGGAATTCAGGGAAATTCTCTTTGTGCACCTCCACCTCCCTCCACTGCACTCAAGCAACAACTTTTTCCTGACATCCAATCCATTTTCCTTTGACTTTCCTAAGCAACCCCTTCTGCTTCCTCCAATATATTTTCATTTATCAGGGTCAGCCAGCTCAGCTTTTTTTCTCCTATACATTTTTTTTTTGGTGGAATCAGTTCAGGGAACAGTTTTACATTAACAGTGCTCATTGCACAGCCCTTGTTCTGATGTCCCCTGTGATCTGTCTTACCTTCACCCTAATGGAAGGGTTTTTTCCAGCCCAGCAATCCAGCAGCTACTTTCTTGAGAGCTCATTTGGAAGCACAGAGAGTTTTGTGTTTTGACAATGTGGCATCATCTTTACCCCTTCAACCCCAGCCTGCATTAAAACATTCATTTTACTCTGTCGTATAATTGACGCTTCAGCAATTTGTGCAGCAAATGAGCAATTTTTCAGTGCAAGAAATGAACAAAATGGGCTGGAAAGAGCAGGGGTGAGAGGCAGCTGATGGGGCCAGGCCAGGCACTTGCAGCAGCACTGGGATTGTGTGTGGAAAGCTCTTTCTGTGTGAAAAGTTCAGTGCTCAGGGCACTGCAGGCTGTCCCTTCCATTAATCACCTCCACGAGGAGGAAAAGGCTGTGTCTTGGTTTGGAAAGACAGATGTGTGCTAAGGAAGGCAGGAGCCTCCCCTGAAATGGGAAATGTAAACCCCCTCCCTCTGAATTGTTATAAATTTGAAATTAAGGGGCTCTCAAGCAAAGATATCCTTCCATTAATCACCCCCACGAGGAGGAAAAGGCTGTGTCTTGGTTTGGAAAGACAGATGTGTGCTAAGGAAGGCAGGAGCCTCCCCTGAAATGGGAAATGTAAACCCCCTCCCTCT